TTTGTTTCCAAAAAATTTATATTATAGACCGTCGATGACGGGCCGATGCAGACGTCTTCACTACAACAAAGGGGTTTGGTTAATTGATGAAAGGGCAGGGGTATCAACAATAATAATAATGAAGAAGCCGGTTTTGAGTGTGCGGAAAGTAAATAAGCGCATTTCATTTAACTGAAACGTTTCTCATTCAATGGCAAAATAGCAACGGTATTATCAACGAGATATCCGTCTGTGGTGGCTAAGCGCATTACAAAATCAGCCATCAAAAATTGGATGGAAAAAGAATACCGTCCATGGTGGATACAGGCTAAGGAATTCTTCAAAACCAGCTTTGGAGTGTCATCAATTTAGATAATGCTCGGCAACTATAAATCCTTCGGACGGTAGTGAAGAATAGGCTACATATTAATCTTAAGTTGAAAGATGTCAGTAAAAACCTAAAACTAGCAATATTTATTTCACCGCAAGACATAGACGACCTGAATGTAAAACATACTTCGTAGACAAGAATTATAAACGTTCAAAGACGACTTTGTTACCCATGGCAAGTTTAGCACAATATTAGAAAACGAAAGAGAGAACCTGAAGAAATATGCATACGTCTTGATCTTCTCCGTCCATCAAGTCAGGGGAACATAAAGTAACGTTCTTAAGCGGTCTGGGCAATAGTCAATCTGAAGGTTTACCGTGGTTCCGCCTACGAAAGGTCTACTAATGTTAGTACCATTGGCTGAAAACAAAAAACTATCCGAATCCAGTTTAGACAGTTCGACATGAATATACAAAAGAAGGGTGGTACACACAAGTGGCTCGACGGTTGTTGCCACATCTCCAAGAAGGAAGGATTAAGTGCATAGATCTTACTTTGTACAAAATTTCTGGATTCCTCCTGCGTCCATTTCTGCTGGGTCGAACTTGCTAACGTTTCGCCAATCATTTTGTTGGCTTCTTCTAATATTGCGAAGCCTGAACGCATTGCCCTAAAATCTCAAAAATCTAATCCCGATATCGCGATCCTGAAAGCAGATAAATGAAATGCGGTCATGAACTTAATGAACTACGTCGTCTATGGAACGCATCCTTAAATATCTTTTTAAGGCTTCCTCTCTATCAGACTCCGTGAAAAAATCTGTCACCCCTCATGATTCGAAAATTCCTCGCCTTTACGGACTCCCAAAGATCCACAAACCAGGATTACCCGTTCGACCTATTATCAGCACCATTGGTTCTCTAACATATTCTCTAGCAAAATATCTAGGTTCCTTATTATAACCCTTTACAGGGAAAACTGACAGTTTCGTTCTTAATTCCTTTCACTTTATTAAACAATTAATAAGCATTATATTAGATACATGAGATATTCTAGTTAGTTTCGATGTAGAATCCCTCTTTACCAAAGTTCCTATTCCTGAAACTCTCAACATCATTTCAGATATATTAAAATCTGAAAATCTGGAACCAAACCTTAATTGAAAAATGCTTGTCTGGAACATGTTTTTTCTTATATCGAAACGATGCAACGCGATCCCTTTTGTTTTCTACTAAAAACGGTTGTTGAAATGCCTCGCATCGATCAAACGTTACACCCATTCCCATATGGGACGGTCCGCGCGTGTCTACACATAAATATACGTACACCCACCATTTTTGAAATGTTGCCGGAAAGCGATGCGGTTTGTTTTGTTTTTTTTTTTCGTAGTAGGCGTGAACGCGACGATACGCAATATCATTTGCATCGATTTGTCCGAATGTAAATTTTTACGTCTAAAAAAGTCCGACGACGTTGCCGCGTGTTCGCGTCTGTAACTCGGTTATTTTGTTCCTTCCGTTGATCATGGAACTTAAGAAAGTACACTACTTCGGGATGTTTCCTGTATCAGACGTTTCGTTACTTTAGGTCTACTAAATCAAACCTGATGGCCCGGTTTATGATGTTGTTTGGAGACTACTACTGCTGAAGTCTCTGGTCTCCAGCCTGGTTGATATTACCACATATAGGTACCACAGCTGCATGGTATGTTGTAGACACTTGCTGCCAATTTATCATCGACCCAGTATACAGATTCTGGTTCTGATGTTATATATTTCGAGATTTTTTAATATTTGGTGATATTTTGTACGGAAGTACTGCGAGATAAAAAATATTTTTTTCTAATAATTGGTTTCCACATGGTTGTGGTTAGTTAGTCCACGAAAAATAGCGATATATGTAAATATTTAAACTATCGCGCTCGTGAAGAAAAATATTCGTAGGATATAATAGCAGATATAATAACAGTATTAAATAAAATGGATAACTGTAAGCCCCAGATGAACGGCCTCTTATGACCAAAGTATGTCGACGAGAAGATATTGGTAACATTGTTAATATGTTAATTGGCGACACAACAATCCCAACCTATGTTAAGAAAATTTTTAACTTATGAGGAGGGGCACCGTCTCGCTGCCATATAATCAGCGCTGATATATTTATGGGTAAATCTTCTATATATTGTTCTATTTCGTGCTCTAAGAGTTGCAAATAATGATCTCCAGTTAAGTTTTGATCTATAAATATCCGACTCAAACTATGCCCACACCATACATTAATTGATTGGTACCGCTGGGTTTTTATTTCGTGTATCTGTCTCGAATTATTTAAATATCGCATATTTTGTCTATTACAACCCTTTTTTGTAATGTAATGTAAAATGTTTTTCAAAAAATTGTTATTCTCATTATGTCTATTTAAAAAATCTAAACAAAACTGCATCCTCCTTTGACATTGTTATATTCTGTCCAAACTGAGTGGATTGATCCTCGAGAAATACATGTTTCTTCATATACTCCAGCAATAGAGAAAACTGGATGTGCTTCATAGAATCCTAATATGCTTGAATTCTTTTCTTCATTTAAAATATTATGATTCCGGCATACCTTTTTAATATTCACTACTTTACCGTTTTCTGCAAATTTCTTTGCTAGCCTTGGAAATATGTGTTTTGAAGGAGCTCGGCGCTCTGGATAAAGTCCAACTAATATACTGACGACGAGCAGCGGTTGCGCTTTTATTATTCAGGATATTTTATTATTTGAGGGATATTACTCCTTCCACGGATACAAAATCCCCGAAAAACCATTTTAACAATAATGATTTGGACAATAATTCAATCAATAACATTATTTACTAATATGTCAAACATAAACATATTTTTATTTGTCAGTCAGGGCACTCATTAAAATTATATAAAAATTTCCTATTTTTGCCGATTTGTTAAAAATGAGTGACTAAAATATAAAGTGTGTTGTAATCGGAATAAGATATTCTCTTAAACAAATGTATAATATACAGGGTGTTCCTTTTAATAAAATATGATAGTCAGAAAATTGATATTGATTGATATTTCGTGTTGATAAAAAAATGTTGAAAGTGGAAAATAAAGATTTCTCATAAAAATTTAATTTGTCGATGGGGCAAGCCCATTTCGAAAATACAGGGTGCTTCAAAAAAATGTATACACACTTTAAACTATTGTAGTTTTCCCGCTCTACAAGGCTAATGTTATATTTCTTCGCCAGGTGCCAGCATAATCGTCCCTCTATGTTATATTATCAGTTGGAATTTGTAATATCAACATGGGGAACGTACGTTTGAGTTTTGAAGAACGTAAGCAGGTTATTAAGTGGTACTGGAAGTTTGAGAATGTAAATGAAGTTCAAAGACAGTGGAGAAGGGAGTATGATACAGAACCACCTTCAAGATTAACAATTACACGCATACGAGACAAATTCGAAGTTCATGGAACAGTGTGTGATGTGCATAAAGGTCATTCAGGTCGGCCTCGAACAGCTACAAGTGATGAGTCATCAACGGCAGTCTTGGAACTGTTTCAACGCTCTCCTAACAAATCTTCAAGGCAAGGGGCACGTGAAAGTGATGTAAGTGCTAGCAGCGTGCTACGCATTCTGAAGAGAGGCAAGTATCGTTTTTACATTCCAAGGCTGGTGCAACAGCTAAATGACGACGATCCAGATCGAGGGTTGCAATTTTGTGAATGGATTCAGGAGATGGTGATACGTGAACCGGGATTTATGGGTAGCATCATTTGGTCGGATGAAGCCCAATTCAAAGTTAATGGAACTGTCAATAGGCACAATTGTGTTTACTGGGGTGAAGAAAATCCTCGCATTACAATTGAAAAAGCTGTAAATTTGCCTGGTGTAAATGTGTGGTGCGGTTTGTCTTCAAGGGGACTCATTGGACCTTTTCGATTTGAAGGCACTGTAACTGGTATTAATTACCTAACAATGCTTGCTGATTGCATATTTCCTGCCATTCGAGCATTATAGGGTAATGATGATTTTTATTTTCAACAATATTGTGCTCCGCCGCACTATCACAGGGACGTACGAGCTTACCTGGATCAAAATTTGTCGGGCCGGTGGATAGGACGCAGGGGGCCAATCGAGTTTCCAGCACGCTCTCCAGACCTTACACCACTGGATTTCTTCTTGTGGGGCACAGTAAAAGATCAGGTGTACAAACGTAAACCACGTAACCTAGACATTCTTTGGAATGAGATTCAAGCAGTGTGTAGAGAAATCTCATTGGACGTTTTGATACGATGTACAGAATCAGTGGTGACTCGTACTCAGAATTATATTGATGCTGCAGGTCACCAATTTGAATTATTTATGTTTCATTTACATTGGACTTTCAGCTTTCTATTTTCCTGAAATTTAACTTTGTAGAACGGTAAATAAATTTTCTATGGAAGTTCAAAGTGTGTATACATTTTTTTGAAGCACCCTGTATATTGTACGTAACGCGTCCAGAAATTGACTCCTGGGGGGATAATTTTGGGTCTTGTAAAATACCGTTATTTAAAATTCCCATTTTTTTCGTACAATAGATATTATATTTTCTTCCCTTCGGCGTATCAAAAATGCAGGGCGTTTTGGATGTAGGTGATCTTTTCATTGCGAAATAATATTATTCATTGATTTTTTTCCCGTTCCAGATTCTTTAGTGCGGTGGACAGGCATTTGGAAAAACACGCAGACGACGAAGGTAAGCGACCGATCTTGCACTGTTTTTTTTTTTAATTTCATCTCACTCGCGCGTACCCAATTTATATACGAAGTAAACAACCCGAATTTACGACCCGCGACGTCATATTTGCTAAAACTTATCTCTTCCGAGGTCGTAAAATATTACCCGAAGGAGCCGGATCGAACTTTTCGTAAAATCGTCCGCTTTTTCGAAATGTCACGCCTTGCCGTGCAGCGGCGACGTATGTGGGCGACGCCTAGTTAAAAAGGTAAATAAACTATAGGGCCTTGTATATTTTTTAATTCGATACGTCTAGCTAACGCGTATATGATGAATAATTATCTGCCCGGTCGAAATTCGTTCGGCTCATCCATCTTGGGTGAGGTGCGCCCGTCGAACCGAATTTGAGGTATAGTTCGGTCCACATTATACCGTTCGACATTTAACGATAAAACCCTAATTTTGCCCGTCAAATATTTACAAATAAGGATTAATTGGAAGCTATCTTTGCATCTTCTCAAATCATAGTCCCATCAGGTATACCTCAAGGTTCTAACTTCGGCCACCTGCTTTTTAATCTATTCATTAACGACATTTGGAATTTTCGTCTCATATTGTTTCTATATAAAGTAAAGTACTTATTCTGGATTCGTCAAAAGTAATATGAGATACCTGAGCTCCATCGACATTTTTCATATGATCGCAGACATTTGCTGTTTCAGTATGGAAAATGTACTGCATGTAGGGAATGATATTATCTCTCCAGGAAGTGCGGGGCCTTCCTCTGTCTCTTCGTGGCCGTATCTTTTTGACCAGCTGTATTTGGGCATGCGATTTGAATGTCTTGGTCATTGCCTGTTCTTCTTCTTTCAGTACTCCATTTTTGTTCCCTTTAATTTGTTCTTGTTCTTTCTCGTTAACCTCCATTATACTATTATACTTTTGTCTGTTAATCCGTTCAAGGTTATGGTCCCAGATAATTGGGTGTGATCCCTTTGTTGTTGTTTTTTGTTCTTACAAATTCCTTTTCTACCTACAAGCTATTCTATCTTGCTTAAATTTATTTAAAATTATTATTTAAGGCCATATTTAAGAGCTAAAAATTTTCATATAAGCATGGGTCCCTAACTTCCCGTATGCTGTAACTCAATGGATTTTGTATTAAATGTGGAGGAATTACGTCATAGCCATTGTACATTCAGTTACCGATTGCTTTAGATCCTTTCCCAACGGATGGATGGACTGTGACGCGTACATGGGGCGTCGGATAAATATTCGAATGTCTTTGTCGAAAACGCGTCGGATATATAAATCCCTCGTTATCCAGCGGCGTGTAATGACCATTACAAGACCATGCGCGATAAGATCTCCGTAAAGTATACCGTCGGGATATTATTTATTTGTCTTTCGGGTTTTCCGCTGCGGGTTAAAAGGGGGACAGTCGCCTCGTATCGTTCGAAAGTAATTGACTACGTCGTATACGACGGTCAAAAGTCCGCTGAAACGAATTCAGAGCATCTACTACGATGTCGATTCACATTGATACGTCATGTCGCTGGTTGGTTAGTATGTAGATTGGGTTTTTCGCGAAATGTTAAATATCGACACTAACGACAGTCTGAAGCCGGTGATCTTTTCTTTTAGTCGGCTCGTTGGTACTGCTTACTGCTTAACAAGTAGCGTTCATACAGAAAGGGAAAAGTATTTCATTAGTATAAACCCTTGTTACGATTTCATCGATTTTTCGAAATTATACGCGCTTGGCAACGAAACTTCTTACAACTTCTTATAACAGCGTCGCCCGTGGTACAGATGGAATCAACATCGAAAAAAAAAAACGTTTTCATTTTTCTGCCTGTTTGTCCGTTTCTCTGTTCTCTGTTCTCCGCTTCTCTCTAGACAGGGCAATTGGCTATAACTTTCGAACGGTTTGCCACACCGCATTATTATTTGGCTCCTTTTAAGCAGTCCATGAGCCACATAAGCCAATAAAAAATGACCATGTTTTTTTAAGATTTTCGGCTGTTTTTTAGACACTCCTATGAAACACGATAAGTGTCCGAAATTTGAAGTTATCGACTTCAAGCTTGGTTGGCGAATAGCGTTTGGTGTTTAAACAGTCTCGAATATTGTGTGGAGAGAGAGAGAGAGAGAGAGAGAGAGAGAGAGAGAGAGAGAGAGAGAGAGAGAGAGAGAGAGAGTTTCAAGTTTCATCTATCATACAGGGTGCGCGAGATACTTAGAATAATATAATTGGGAATCGTTATTACTTGTTCAATTTTTTATATTAATCAAAGTTTATTGTGACTTTGTACTTCGGCGATAAGTAAAAACGCTTTATACAGGGTGTATGCACAATAAAATATGCAGGAGGACCACGATAGAAAAACGATGAGTCCCTTTACCACAAGAAAGCTCTTTACTTTTAAAATAAAAAGCTTTTTCGCGCTAGGTGTTACGAACTTGTCTCGCCCAGCGAAGATTTTTCGAAAGCAATCTTGTTAAAATTTCAAACTATATACTTGATCCCGGCCATCGAGTCCGTAATATCAGTAAGAGAGAGATATTTTTTAAGCGCTCACCGTATATCGAAACAGGTCGTGATAATAATAATAATAATAGAAACATGGCCGCGGCCGGTCGATAATCGTTCAACAATATATTATGTTATCGAGTAGGTGAGGCCTGGGCAATTATTGTCCCTACAAAACGCCAGATCGACTTACTGATCGTTGACGGTGCATTAATCAGAACAAATAACCGTATTAGCATAGATCTACAAAACGGGACCATTAGGGACCATAAGGGAGCGACGGTGTCTAGTACGAAACGTACAAATGGTCGCTGTCAACGAGCGCTGACAGATACCGATTACATTGTTACGTCGTTGTCGTCGACGTATGTGTCCGTGTGCGTGTCAGTGTGTATGTGTGCGACGACGACGAACGGTGTCAATTTGAGGGCGCTGACCCTATTCTCGTCGAACCTCCATGGTCCGGCGGGACGAAAGGCAATTCCAATTTACTACCCCGCCACATTTCGATTCCGCGATGGTGAACCCAGCTGGGAGAACGAACGGTGTAGCTTACAGGCACATATATCCTATCCAAATCTAAATTAAAAGATAAAGATATCTTCTCCTTCTATTAGTGCCTACAAGATTACACTACAGTATTCATCGTTGAAACGTTAAGTCTAAAGATGAAATAGTATATATGCAACAAGTGCGTTAAACGGCATTTGCTCACGAGTTTATTTGGCACGAGCGGAACGCAGCGGAGCGATTGTTTATTACCGAACGTGTTGCATACTATACTTTTTCTACGATCGTTAGTTTTTGGGTACATTTTCGCAAAACAACACGAATACATTCACTGACATGACCGTCTCAATTCAAAATCTCCGGAAACATCCGATTGCTCCCAAACCCGTGCGGTAAAATCCCGGAAATGTCCGAAGTGGCTCGGATTCGTAGCAAACGAAACCGACGTGGTAACGTGATGCTTCCCGCACGCTAGATAGGTGAGTAATTAGATATTTTACAGACGGGAGTAGAAAAACGTATTTGCAGTTACAGTTTGCTCCTCCTCTGGCTTTGTGGTTCTTAAAGGATTCCTCGGCCTACTTTTGCCACGGCGCGTCCACGCATCTATTGATGATTGTTTTAGCTCATTGGCTCGCGCATAAGGTCTCGCCTTTTTCTTCGTCCCTTAGTGCGTTTCCATTTTGTTAATTTTCCGGTTAAATTCCTCGCTTTGCGCTGAATCCGATCGACTAGATCCACTAAGAATTTTAACATGGGAAGAAGAACTGCAAGTAACTGGCATTAGTTCTTCACGTGCTCAGTAGTAGTGGCTATCTTCGAACTTACTCTCGGGTTATCTGCCGAGGTATTGCGTTTGATGCGCCGTCACTGGCCGATCAAACGAGCCCGAAATTGATTAAGCAGAGACGTTAAATAATAATTCCGGAGATTGAAAATCTATTAACGCAACGATGAGCTCTCGCTCTCTGTCTCTCTCTCTCTCTCATGTCCACGTGCTTCATAACGTCGGAGGAATGTTCCGTGTGGGCGGCGATCTGTGCCACGTCTCCTCACCAATAATAATTGTCTGCTGCCCGCAGTCCGCATATTTCCATTTTTTCCCTGGTTATCTCTGTAGCCGGGAGTTGTCGTAAACCAGGTCCACGGACGCGCAATAATTATAATTCCAACCGTTTCGGTTCTAATCGTGCCAGTAGATCGTTATTCCAGTCTCGCAGAAATTTTAAGAAACAAGCAGGGACTCGCAATATCGGAGGAAAAATACCATTCTGACGAGGGTCCTTGCCTATCAGCTCGAAGCCCTATTATAAAGATCATCGCACCCAATGAAGATCCTAGTACTCTTCCTCACCCTTCCATTCGAAGTGAAATTGTTATAATGCGCGTCACGCCACTGGCTATGCGGTGCCGACCCAATTCGCAACCCCGACGAAATTATCAGTCGAAAATTGCACATGTGCAAACAGAGTCGATAAACAATGACGGATAAAGGTTGACGACACGAAAAACGACGTTAATCGATAATCCGACCGAAAAACGTCACTTTTCGCTGTTTGGCGGAGGGGCGAGGGGTGAATTAAACGAGCATCTCGAATCGAATCTGATTGGTTTTGAATATTTGGGAGGATGTTCCAAGTATGAAGTCACTGGACTCAGAGAAGATGACTGGTTTGTTATATTTAGACCACAAATATAGTGCTTTTACAACTGACCCCGTTTTGCCTACTGTTACTCCAAAACTGCAGCCCCTTATCGAATACCCTGTAGTGCAGACCCTTAACCGCCACCATGCCAGGACCGTCTTAGGAATGTATCTACGTACACTAACAAGCGGGGTATAAGTATGTTTTCAATCTTTTTCGCTGAGCAATTCGTGAAACATAAAAAAATTAATACAAAGTAACATTTCTACAGAGTATCATTATTAATATACAAAATATTAAATATAATAATAATAAAGTATCAGTCACTTAAAAAATCTGTTGCTCTTTAAAAACTCTCGAAGTGCCAGCATCTTCTCTCACTTTCCTCTTGACCATCCCATTTGCAACAATTTCAGTTTGATTTCAGAACTTTGCTCATGTCACTTGTTTTTATTGCTGCTCATACTTCCTCTTCCGAATTTCTTATAAAATTATAAACATTCAAAAAAAATTTGTTTAGCATCCGAAGACAAATTTATCAGTTTTTTATTTGCTGAAGTAGTTCGTCTTCTAAGTTGTCATTAAGTTCGACCACCATCTCCACTTCGTCTTCAAATTCTGCGTTATAATCCATATATATTATATATATATATATATATATATATATATATATATATATATATATATATATATATATATATATATATATATATATATATATATATATATATATATATATATATATATATATATATATATATATAATATATCCAGTGAAAACGGCGTCGCAGGGTCAAAGCTCGAGAATCAGCTACATAAATACGTACTTACTGGAAGGATCACAGTCAAATACGTCCGTAATATACGCGAACATATTGGAATTTAGATTGAACTCTTAAGAACGATACGTGATGCTAAGATAATATCTTGGTGGTTAAAATATCGAACGCGTAAAATGGTTTCCTCGAAATATAATTTAATCCAGACCTTTTTTGGAATATTCGTCACTTTGTCACAAGTTCATTCACTACGCTTTAGATTCGGATTCGACCTCTGGGGATAACCGGGAATCTCTAGTTTTTACGCCATGTTAAGATGTTTGGCGGCTTTCGACTTTGACCAGAACGCTATATCGAACCCGCCGATATATTCCATCAGCTGCCGCCGCCGCATAATAAATGTATCGGTGAATGACGCTTGAAGTGGACTCCCGTCGCGGTGCTTCTCGTATAGAGCTTATTGACAGTCGATGATTTGTCTACCGTATGGGTGGGTAAGCGATGTCTGACTTCGCCGCACATGTTCAATTTCGATTACGGGTCACGTAACATTAAGTCTTTCACGTCGGTGAAAAACCACCCACACCAAACTATAGAAGCGACAGAAGTAAGTCGTGCAAAAAAATAATAAATAAAATTACTCTCTAGAAGAGTTACGGGACGCCGCTGGCGCGTCAAAACGCGGCGCTCTGCACATAACTGATATTTTGTTGACATTGATTTCTGTTTGCAGACGCTCTCATCGGAGTTCACTGCACGCATGGTCTAAATAGGACGGGTTACTTTATCTGCAGGTGGATGGTCGAACGTTTGAAGATCCATGTAGACGACGCGATCAATAGTAAGTAGCGGTTACTTTTCGTAAGGTCATTTCCGGTTTGAGTTGAGACAGTCTTGTTGCTTTACCGCAAAGTCGGAATACTCCTCCTTGTAGGATTCGAAGTCGCCCGTGGACACCCGATCGAACGCAAATACTTGCTTAAGGCTTTAAGGAACGGGGATTCGTCAACGAGAAAGTTGCCGCCATCATCGCGACAACGTAGGGTTCACCGAAGTTCCGTGGTCAATTGGAGGACCGAACCGAGGACAAACTTCGAAAAACCATCCGTCCCGTCGCAGAAGAATAAAAACCACCACAAAACTGTAGATTGACGACTATTTAAATTGTATTATGGGCAATGGCGTCGGGGTAAAATTAAATGAACGGGCCATGGAATCGCGAATCGTTTTTATTCCGTTTACCTCTTCCTCGGGAATTTTGGGGCGTTGATACAGCAACAGGTAAGCACTCGTTGGAGTAAATCCAAATGTGATCTAGAGCTGGACCTTTCCTCTTAGGAGCGGTTATTTCCAGTTATAGTCTGTTCATCGACATAAGAAAATGACTAACTGATACGAATTAAGGAAAGACCCTGGCAACCTGCAATAATGAAATATGGCCGAACAGGTCCGTACTTTGCTTAGAATTTAATTATTTAGGGTTTTCCAATCCAATCCAGAGAAGAGTCTTTAATATTTTTCGCAGACAGAGAAAGTCCATTTGGAATCCAACCATCTTTAGAGCCAACATGCAAAATAGTTATTCTTTTACCTCTTTTTGGTGGTGCGTTTGTTTTACACTTATCAGTTCAGTCAACCCAACCCTTTTCCGGTGTATCATAAGTGTCGATCCAGGTTTCATCCAAGTAAAAATGGCCTTTGTTGTTCTCTGTAAATCATAATTTTTTCTAGATATTCCAGTCGCCATTTCCGAATTCTAAAAGATTCCATTAAAATTTGCCTTTTGGCAATTTCTTTAAATCTAAAACCCACTTGTTGAAGTCACTTCCATAAGGTAGTTCTGTCACATTTAACACCAGTCTCATCTTTTTCAAGCCTCCTAATTAAGATATCTAATGTAGGCACGCTTTGTTCCTCGTATAACTGGTAAATTTTGATCACTTTCATCTACACTCGAGAAAATGTTAGCATCGCTTCTTTTTTTCCTCACTGAAATGGGATTATTCAAAATTTTCCATACAGTTGATGTTGGAATTTTCGTCAATGTGGCCGTTTCTTCTAAAGATGCTTGCTTGCTGGCACCACGTTCAATGAGAGTCAAATAAACATGGTTTATAACTTCCTTAGTCTCAATACAATAGTGTTTTCTACATTTGGGCGGGAGCATCTCCTGAGATACACTAGACTCGCACATATTCAACACACGCTGTATTACACACGAAATAAGAACGATTACTAATAAACTTAAACTAAGTAGTATCCCAAACCAAAGAATATTAAACACAGGTAGGTAAAAAATTATTTTCTATTACGCACCACAATTTTACCTGAATTTAAATTCCGAAACTTTAGGTAATAATCTTGTGGCATTGTATGTTATTGACCGCCCTTGGATAATCTCATTTAAAAGTAATTGGCCAGTTTCTTATATCTATGAAAATCTACTCTAAAGGTGCCAACACATTTCGTACTTCGTTCAAGTTTATTCTAACACATTTCAGTCTATCAAAAACTATCATGGATAAACAACGGGGTTCCATATAACTTCCTCTAATGGAAGGCCTTCAATAAACTCTAAATTTTCGTCTCTAGGCAAGACATGTTAACAGATATGATGCATGCTTTGCAAAGACCTAGCCTAGGCGAAAATACGTGAACATTGTTCAGAGCTTCAATGCACCACGTGATGTATTACTATCCCTCTAGGTGCGAGAAGCAGGATTCTCTTGACGATGGTACTGGACATTGACCAGTTTATAAGTGCAGACTAAATAGCAGTACCCATCAACGTCAGCACTTTGCGTCCGGATTATTCCTGACGTAATCACCGTTGCCTAATCACGGTTCGAATACCGGCTGGACACGATGCAAGATAACCATCGACCTTATCGCGAGGCATCTGGTCGATATATCGGTAATTAATTCCTGATAGGGATTCGACGGGACGCCTACGCGCGCGGTACACACTTTTTCCACCCGACGTCGTCGCAGCGGAATCATTATATTCAAATCTTCGAAAATCTCTTGTACGGCCCGTAAGCATTGTGTTAAGTACCACGGACGACCCACGCGGGTACGCGTTACGCGACCCGGTACCCATGAATTAACATCTCAAAATGCGTGTTACTTTTTTTTATCCCTTTCGCTCTTCGCGGCGGCATCGTGAGAAAGTCGAAAACGGACGGTTACGATTGATGGCCATTTTAGAAACGGTGTCGCCGCGAAGCTATGGCGAACACTTAAGAAACGAAAAGCTCAACTCGACAGCAAAAATTATATATCGGCAACCGTTTTAAGGGATACAAGGAAGTGCCGAACCCAGCCACATCTGATTCATTTCATATCTTGCTTAACTTCTATGATTCTCTTCGCAAATCTAATTTGATTAGATTATCCCTTCCTCCGTTGGTGTCTGCGTAAAGAAATAGTATTACCACTCTAAGGTGGGTCAAAGTTAGACAAAAATTGACAAACCATTTAACGTGGATGTACTGGGTGGCCAAGTCCTACGACTTAGAATAACAAATATAGATAAATAGGGCCAAGATAAAAAGCTGGAAATTATTTTCAGGTTAATAAAATGGCCGCTGGGGGGCGTAACCTCTTGTGTAACATAGAAAAAACGGGTTTCCTTAAAAATATTGCAAATTAAACTATATGAACATTAGTTTTAACGTAGTCTACTCTAGATAAAGAAACTTTTTTGTTTGAACTATTTTTTTTTTACCTCGTTAAATTAAGGGTGGGGGAAATTGGTTTAGTAGAATAACTTTTTTTTTACTATTCCGATTTCGACGAATTTAGTTTCGTTTTAAACAGTATTTATAGGAGATTCGACTGGCATGTCAAATATCAATTATTAACATCTATTATTAGTCAGTAGGAGGCGCTTCATGTGAAAAACAGCTATTTTTATGACTTTCTCGAATATTTCAAATATAGTGGTATAAATATTGGGTTGTTCGGAAAGTCATTTCGTTTTTTTTTGGGGAACATGAAAGACAGTTTTCGTATAATGAATAAATATTTTATTAAATTATATATTGGCCATTCTGGTCCAACACCTTTTGCCATCTTTCTGGCAGTAACATAATTCCCCTCTCATAAAAGTTTTGGTCCTTGCTGGCAAAAAACTGGTTCAGGTGGTTTTTGACATCTTCATTTGAGGTAAAGGTTTTGCCATCCAAAAAATTTTGCAGGGACCGGAACAAATAGTAGTCGGAAGGCGCCAGATCTGGAGAATATGGTGGATGTTGCAGTACGTCCCATTCAAGCTGTAAAAGTTTTTGGCGAGTGACCAAACTTGTGTGAGGTCTCGCATTATCCTGGTGGAACACTACACCCTTCCTGTTGATTAATTCGGGCCTCTTCTCTTTAAGTGAATCATTCAATTTGTCCAGTTGATGACAACAGACTTCTGAATTAATGGTTGTATTGTCCGGCAAAAGCTCAAAAAAAACGATTCCTTTGACATCCCACCAAACGGAGAGCATCACCTTTTTTTGGTGAATGTTGACTTTTGACACGCTTTGAGCCGGTTCATCTTTTCCGCTCCATGACCTCTTAAGTTTAACATTGTTGTATACAACCCATTTTTCGTCCCCAGTAATAATCCGCTTCAAAAATGGATCATTTTCTTGACGTTTGAGGAGCGAATCACACATGTCAACGCGACGACACAAATTTCGCTCCGTAAGGACATGGGGCACCCACACATCGAGGTTCGAGGTTAAGCCCATGCCTTTCAAATGGCCATAAACAGTCGAATTCGACAAATTTAATCTCTCACCGATCTCTCGTGTGGTTATTTGCCGATTTGCATCAACTAATGCCTTTATCGCATCTTTGTCAGCTTCGACCGGCCTTCCAGACCGTGGTGCATCTTCGACATCAAAATTGCCGGATCGAAATTTTGCAAACCAGTTGTGGCACTGGCGTACTGTTAACACGCCTTCTCCATACACGTCCGTCAATTTTTTTCTCGCTTGGACAGCATTTACCTTTTCTGAAGTAAAAAAGTAAAATATGACGAAAATGCTGCTTATTGCTCTCCATATTTAAAAGGGCACCAACCAAAAACTATTGCGTAGAATTAATAGAACTTTTTCACACACAAGCCTTGCAATATCAGCTCTCAAGACATATAACGGTTATGCGGCTTAAGTGTGAAGTTGGTTTCGAAAAAACGTAATTAAGTCCTCTGACGGGAAAAAACGAAATGACTTTCCGAACAACCTTATATTTTTGGCTATGATGAAAAAACACAGCAAGTAGTGTGGAAAGTGGTGATTTTTCGTCTCTGAGATATAAATTAAAATTAATTCAGAAATACTGTTTTACGTAGGTATATTAGAAGCAGTATTAGAGATAACCAAGAGTTGACATATTATGATGGGATGATAATTTACAATAAAGGTTCGATACTACTTTTATTTTATTTTATATATAAAACATAGCTAAGAAGAAATTGGGTTAGAAAGAATTATTCAGAAAATACCTCAAGAAAATGATGTATGGACTGGGTTCCATAACAATTGAAGTCCGCCCTGGTTTATGATTTCTAACGCCATGAACTGTATAAACTTATTTTAATAAAAAAAAACTAACACTAAACAAAATCTAGCAATAAAGAAAACCTAGCACTAAACAAATTACCAACACTAAACAAAATCCAACGATACACATAACAAAATCATAAACGGCGATCTCAATCTCTCAAAAACCCTTCTGGTATACCTGCGCCTCTCTGGATATCTGACAGCGTAGACTCTTGCAGAATTAGTTGCATCCTGCATGCATTCAAAATGCACAGCAAACAAATCGAGGGCGATTTCGTTCTCTAAAGGCATTTTCCATTCCAAAAAAAAAACGTAGTTTAAGCGGATTCTTTTGTTTTGTTTTCTTCATCGTGCCGTTATCATGCCAACCGCTAAGCCTACTTCTCCAATATTGGTAATACGTGTAATATTTTAATAAATGATATTAACCATTCATTTTTTAACTATTATTGATTATTGTCGATTATTATGGAAAAATTAGGACAAAATCAAATTTAACTCTAGTAGAAAATATAAGCTTGCCACGTCACGTCTGTGTTTAATTATCACATTTTCATTTATATCTTACAGGGGAAAAAGATATTGTCATACCGTTTCCACTACTTTCTGTGTTTTTTACGCCTCTTCATCTTTGCTAAAAATATTTGTACAATTATA